TTCCTGATGGTTCCAATGAAATCTACGTGAAAAACTGGTCTAGACTATATATCCAAGTATTTTTCTTACATGGTTTTACGATTTTTTGTTTCCCCAACTTTCATTAAATTCCAAATGGACGGTATATCAATATCCTGACAGCAAAACTACAGTCCACGTCAACTTTTCGACTTTTTCGGGAGTCGGAACTGTGTGTTGACAATAATAGAGGTACCAATACGAAAAAGGCGCATTAGTAACAAGCAGTCAACCCCAACATTGTCACGATAGACTTTCACACTTACACAAGCGCCAATCGGATATCTAAATCATGTCTTCAGGTGATGAATGGTGTTTGATAGAAAGCGATCCAGGAGTATTCACTGAGCTGCTGGAATCATTGGGATGTGAACAAGGGCAGCTAGAGGAGCTCTGGAGTCTAGACGACGAAACTCTAGCAGCTCATGGGGAAATATTTGGGCTAATATTTTTGTTTCAATGGCAACACACGGGAAAAGGAAGTACTACGACGGTCAAGAAGCCTTGTCTGGCCGAAGATCAAGTTCCCGAAGGTCTATTTTTTGCTCATCAAGTCACGACCAATGCGTGTGCTACACAAGCCATCTTGTCCGTCATGCTGAATCAAGATTTGGAGCTGGGACCTACTCTGAATGAATTCAAGGAATTCACGGCATCCTTCCCACCATCGCTTAAGGGTGTGGCCATTTCAAGCAGTGAACCCATTCGAAAAGCCCACAACTCTTTTGGCAGACAAGACGCCTTTCTTAACGACGGGAAGTTCGTTTCACCTTTCCGCCAGTCAGACGATGTCTTCCACTTCGTAGCATATATACCAAAGGGTAATACGGTCTACGAACTTGATGGACTTCAGGAGGGGCCTATAGTTGTGGGGGAATTGGAAAACGATAGCAATGGTGGCATGGCACAGAATCATTGGCTCGCAGTTGCTCGAAAGGCCATCCAGGGAAGAATGACAGGAGATGCTATTAAGTTCAATCTAATGGCAGTAGTCAAAGACAAGCGCATTGCTTTGAAGTCTCACTTGGAGGCAAATCCAAGCGATGAAACAGCTATGCTACAACTCCAAATGGAAGAGCAAAAGCGTTCACATTGGAAGCTCGAAAACCAACGACGTCGACACAACTATGTTCCTCTTGGTGTTTCCATGCTGAAGGAGCTTGCCAGGATGGGTACTCTAAAAAAACACATGGATCAAGCGCAGGAACGAAAAAACAAGCGGGCAAAAAACTGAAAAGTGCCTGCTCAAACCCGAACAAGTATTCGATTTTCATATAGATTTTATTGTCACTTTAACGTAGGTAGGCTTTCTTCATACGACGGTACAGCCAATGTACATAGTACCGGTATAGAACAGTCTGGTACTGCACCATTTTTTTGTTCGCTTGAGTCGGTAAATGACAGCAACCCAAAACAGCACTCAGCAAATGAAGGTCACCGTGCTATTAGATACGCACAGCTAGTCTGTACGCAGTAACCTACGGAGATCGGTGATGAGCCACACACATCATCACAACTTTCTAGATTTCCTTTTACGAACGTCTATCAACTTCCCTTTGCTTTTATCATCTTTCTAGTAAGTCTATCGCTTCACGACGTATTTTACATTGTTTATCACGACCCAATGGCTATGAACCAAAAAGCTGTTCCATGAATTGAAATCAAATGAACGAATTATGAATACAAATACTGCAATATTTTTTTAATATGTGCAAAGCCGATTTTGATCGTGTCAATGGTACCACAACACCTGTTTTGACCATGTAAAACTGTCAAAGGTGTAACGAATGCAACACCAATACAAACTAACTAAGGAATCACTTATATAGGCGGCAAAATGGCCGCCGCAATTCCTGTTTTTGCGATCTATGATGCCATGATTTTATGTAAAATCCCTGACAATGGGAATTTCCAAGGGCAAACTGACGTTCAATGTATGGCAGAAGAGCTCTTTGACAACGATTTCAGCACTGCAATGACCAAATCAATCAAGTAGGTCAACATGGACCTTGCAACGCTTGCATCCTTGACTGCTGTGCAAGGACAAATTGTGTCAAGACCAAGAGCTCAAGACAGAATTAGAGCATTTGTCCAGTGAGTTCGCGACAAAATTGGGATGGGCAGGAACCCTGCACGACACCCTTTCCCAGCTGGAGATACATCTACTCTGCTGCAGTGATTGAACTTCCATCAAAAGTATGTCAAAGATTCTAAAACTTTAATAGACAATACAGTTCCACCAAAATGGAGCAAAGAGCAACAATAGAAGCAATGAGTCAAGCTACTTTGTGACCACCTTTGCGCATACATTGGTGTCAATGGCATCCCTCTTGTTTATGTGATCCGCGAGAATGCAGCTCAAGACCCAACACCACAAGACAATTTCCTTGATGAATACATCAACATGGCTCTACTTGTTGGAACCGCCTTTATTGTGGATAACAAACAGGTACTGGCCCTACTGAACAAATTCATCATGGGTTGTTCTGAAGCTGAATTGGTAATCCAAGCGCTCATATTCCAAAAAAAAAAAAAAAAGCAACATGCATATCCAGGTCCTAAAAAACATCACTTTCGGTACTTTGCCTACACAAATTCTCTGTAGCAAAACAAAACTCGATCCTCCTTTTTGCATCAAAACTGACAATGGGAAAGTCCAAGAACAACAAGAAAGCGGCAACCGCTGCTAAAGTTGTTAATTCTACTGCTCTTACCCATGGTCGCATCAGTTTTTCGCAAAAAAGCGAAGTGGAAACCACCAAAATTCGATCAAAAAAGGAATCCGACAATTTGGACCCTCCAACCGACAAAAACAACAGCGATACCAACATGGAGGAGACCGACAATCCACTGAAGTACAATCGCATCGTCCAGAACATCGATTCGTCTCAGTGGAACCTGCAGACTCTCGCTTATTTACGCACAATTCATCGTGCTCGAGGCTGACGCAACAATAAAAAAGAAGTGGTTTTTGGAAATGAGCTGTTATTGGCCATTGGGCTTGGTGCGAAGGTTATTCAGAAAATTTTGTGGACCCTCCACCGGCTGAATCCTGGGAGGAGGCAGCTGAGAAACTCCTCCATATTGGTGATAGTGATTGGAGCTTGGTAGAGCAACGCATCTGCGCTGCTCAACCAAGACATCAAGGACAAATTTGTTGGAAAGGATCGGGAGCTAGTTGTTTTTGTCCGAGGATTGACACTTGGTCTGGCGGTCCAAGACCCTCTGGTGATTTTTCCTTTGGACAAACCGTTGGAAGAGACTACATTTTTCAGTAGGTATTGGGAATTTACTTCGGAGGTCGAACCTCGTTTACTATTGGAACTACGCCCTCTGGCCAAAGTGTGGGCCATTACGTGAGCGTGATTTGGACCCATCAACTGAATGGAAATCGGCTCCCATTGACCCTTGCTCTTTGGTGCGAGGGTTCTTTCCAGATGCCACCCCAAAACCAGTTCGCGACTCTATGGCCCCCGATAAGGACGATGCGGTGATGGTGGACATAACGGGTCCATCGGTATTTAGCCCCACCACTAACCTAGTCAACGGTAAGTTTACTTATTGGTCTGACAATGATGGTTCTGAGTCCGTTGAGTCGTCTCCGGACTTTTTGGCACCATCTAATTCGGACCGACCTCCTACTGAAGTGGTTGTTGGAAACTCACCCGCCCCAGCCCAGCAGGTCAATGACCCTTTGGCAATGGTGCTAATTGACTCCCACTTGTCAGAACCTGCTCCTCCCAAACCTTCCCAACTCCCAGCTCCTCCTTCAGTGAAGCACATCTGTCCTCGTCTGGCACGCAGTTTGACTTGGCCTCCACCATCCGGGCCTTGCTTTGCTGCCTTCCTCTCCAAGTTCATCGGCGTCATGTCAAGGGGGCACCGTCTTTTCTCTCAACTGGATTGGTGGGAGCAGCGCAATGTTGAAGTCGACTCCAAAGCACAAGCCTACCGCCGCCTGCTGGAGTCTACAGGCCAATCTGCCGCTTCCAACCCCCGCTCCTTATTCATTGATGGTGTTAAATCGTCCTGACTGGATCAGGCTCACATCATGGAGCTGGTCTCTCTTCCTGCCCTTCGCGTGTATTGGTCCTCCAAGGACCGCCTCTCCAAGCAGTCCATCCGTGAGGTCGATTGGATATCTCTTGCACGCGCCATGAAGGCCCTCCCAGCCAATCTCCAACGCTGGACACCCAAGCATATCTTCGGTATGACAGGGGTGGGAAAATTCTTGGCCATTTGGAACCGTTCGACGAAGAGCTCTTGCCCCAGATGCTCCTCCTGCCCGGTGGAAGACCACCTCCATGTCCCACGCTGTTCTGCTCCTACTGCAGCTGCAGAATGGTCAAAACGCCATCTGGCCTTCCGGACCTGGATGCAGACTCAGCAGACCGCCCCAGAGATCGAAGCCTTTGAATACCTGAAGACGGTCCGCCAACCTTCCTTGGGAGTCCCCAACGTCCGAGCCTGGTCCCGCCGTCCCCACCTCTTCCAAAGTGCCATCTCCTCCCAAGCCAAGCTTGGGGCCCAGGGCCTCCTTGAATGCATAGTGAAGATGACACTGATTTTCTGTTTGAAGACATGGACAGTGAACTGGACTTTGAAGAGATGTTGAGTGGAGATGATTTATTCACCAAGATTGCAGCTATGGCTGACAGGAAGCAAGTTGATCTTGAAGGTACGCCAAACCGTCAAAGGGAGTCCAAGCTGCTCGCCTTGCAAAAATATGGAAATTAGATCTCCCGACGGCGGAACGAACCTTGCAAGCAACCACACAAAATGATCGAATGCTACGATACAAGAGGATTAATCAATACTTCTTCATGGACACATTCCTTGCTGCTAAGAATGGTGGTCGATCTACCCGGAGCGGTACGAACTCCACACCTGCTCCTACCACTGGTGCTGCCAATCAACCTGTCAGCCCTGCAACTCCAACCGTTGGCAATACTGCCGGTACGCCTGCCAATGCTACCGTGCCCCCTGGTTTACTCTTGCAAGCCTTGAGTTTGCTGTCACAACCCTCTTTTGAGAGCCCCTCGACAGAGCACTCATGCATGCTCTCCGTCATGACCAATGCTCGCACTTCATGCACCTCCTCTCCTACAACGAGGCTGGACTCCTTGCATTGATATTCCAAAAAAACCAAAAAGTAAAAACAACACACACATCCGGGTTCCAAGACACCACCTCTAGTACTTCTCCTACACGGAGCAGCCGTAGCGCGCTGGACAAGAGGTTGTTTTCAACTGGAAAACCAAGGATCAAGATGAGCAAAAGAAAGACAGGCAAGGTCCCCAGAGCACAAACAGTATCCAAAAATGATTCATATTATGCTCCTGTAAGCCTTGTCTAAAAAGAACGGGGAAAAGTGGCCAAAATCTGCCCATTTGATGCCTCTGCCTTTTTGGGCCTGTTGGACAACGATGACAGCGACGCTGATGACGAGGAGGATAACATCAAGATTCACGGTCAGAAAGCAAACTGGGATATCTATTATTTCAGAAGTCATTTTGTCCAAAAAGAACAAGCAAAAATGGTCCAATCTTGCCCATTCTTTGCACCCTTTTTGGGCATTCCTGATGATTCTGACGGTGCCATCAAATCAGTTTCCGATGATGAGGAAGACAAGGCCATCCGAAAGGTCTCTAGCGCCCGAGCACCATCTCCAATGGACCTCCAAGGTGCTGTTGAGGATAAACCTTTCCAGCATTATGCTGACAAATTTTAAAGGTCTCCCAAGCACACCTATTGCAACAATCCAACCCTTGGCGACCTACTGTTGCACGGAAAGTGCTATCTCTTCCATCCGCCTTCTGTTGGTTGGCAGATGCCACAATTTGATTTCCCTTTATGGATGTTCAAATGTTGGCATCATTCCCATGGACAGCTAGGCACAACACCACTGATCTGCAGCTTCACTATGCCAAGGTACAAACTACTGGCTCTGACCCTCTTTGCTTCTCCTTAGACTACAACCAGCCGCCTTTTTGATGCTTGTACCAACCTCAATGTTCTGGAACACTGTGCCCATGGGACGCTCTCCATTCATTTGGATTGATATATTCAGGGTAGAAGGGAGCAAGAACACAAGGCTAAATCAAGCTTCAATACAGGCAAGTACAATGACAGAAATAAATGAATATAGACTATAAGCCTATAGTTGACTAGTTTCTACAAGTTGATCGATATCAATTCAAGTAAAAAGCATGCAGTGAGAAAAGCGATTGTTGATCACTTTTCCACACAAATCTCTAGAATTATCGCAGAACGCTGATGACTCAGCATTCTCTACGCTAAGGCTAAATGAATGGCGTGTAGTGGTTTGTGCACGTGCAAAGCGTGCGACGTACAAGCTACACTTCAACCTGGGAATCCTATAGGTCGAGTCACAAGTCCCGTTCCTGTTAGAATTCTGTCACACAACAAAAGAAAAAACAGAAAACAAAATAAAAATACGCCGCCTCGAGTGGCAAGATCGTCTCTCTACATGTGCAAGGGTGCAATGTAATATGCGATAGAGCAACTTCCTTGGGATTGGATGCCTCAAACTGGTTCAACAGTACTGGACTCACCTCCGTATGGTAAATGGCCATGACAGCCGTTAACGGCAATCTAGAAACTTGAGATAGTTTTAAGAAGATTAATGCATCAGATTTATTATTATTATGGACTCCTTGCATTGAAGTATGATGCACCCGTTCTTGACAAATGTGGGGCGGAAACTGGCCAAACTCAGCTTACTCAGCTCGAGCAGCCCTACCGTTCATCACGACCCGATCACTTTGATCAATTGCATGAACATTGACGTCCAAGCATTCCACGATTACCAATGTAGTAGTGCTTTTATAGTTTTTAATACTACTACTTTACCACAACCTCTTGTCTCCAAGCCTGATCATCGCAAACCTATTGACTTGTCGTCCCCTGATACTCTCCTTCCAACACAGATGGAGACAAACCCAGACAGCCATCTAGCCACCGTACGCAACGAATTTGCACCCAAACATGGGGAGCTACAACGGCCAATGAGCGACAAATCAGACCGCCAAGCTACAGTAGACGTTATCAGTAATCAGTATAGTGACACTACTAGTCCTACTACTATTGTTTCTTCCGCTCCACAACCTAATATTCGCACGTCTGACGGTGTCAATATACTCAATGGTAGTCGTGCCACACAAACTTGTTGGCGCACAAAGCACCATGAGTAGACCGACACTGAACAAGCGTGACATTGCAAATGATGTCATATTTGACTCCAACCTTGAATGGGACCCAACTCTATTGCATCCCAACATTGACAGGCTGGACGAACAGGGCAAAGGTGAGAGACCATTCGATAGAATAGGCATCCTAAAGAGTAGTAAAACTATTTTAACACTGAATGAAGCCTCTGACAATGAGACTCTCGACCGACTAGATGATTTCGACACTGCTATAGATCTTAATGACACTGGCATTGGTAATGCCACACTCGTCTCCAACCTTGACTGGGACCAAACTTTATTGGACCCACACAGTGGCAATCTTGGCCTTAGTGTCTCTGCCGACAGCACTAGCCATGGCTTGCTCCTTCAGTTGCCGGAAGCGAGCATGGGGAGTGATTCTGATGCTCTTCTTCCTGAACAAGATGAGACTGACGAGTACCCAATGGATTTGGAGAAGGGGGAGCAACAGTGTGCAATGTCTGATAAGTTGGCTGTCGTACCGGCTACCAAACGTCCACCGCCTACACCTCAACAAAAAGCCAAACAACATGAGTTCACGTTTTATGGAGTAAAATATAGATCAGTTAATAACCATAATGTTATCTATTCTATTCAGAAAGCCAACACTTCTAAACATCTAGCTTTGATTGATAGAGGTGCCAACGGCGGTATTGCTGGAGATGATGCCCGCATCATCATTGCCATCATACACCAACAGGCCTACATTGAAAAGGGTCAATCCATTCTGTCCAACGGATAAATGGAACATTTCAAGATCGTCATGGACGACAAGTCTACCAAAGTTGGTGGTCAACAGCGCTTGACAACACCTGATGGCTTTGTCTTACCGCTTGACATCAGGAATGGCCTTTCATATCTACGAATGCGTCCACCAACAGACCGTGAGCTGAGTAATCCCGACATTCCTCATGTCGAACTCACCTCTGATACTGATTGGGATCCAAGTGTATTGGATCACAATTGGAAGAATGGGCAAACTCTGTTCCCAACTGCGATCCTGAGGATGAAGAACGCCTGTTTGATCTTGCAGGAGCTCTTAAGAATAATAAAGCTGTTACTTCTTTTAAGGATTCTAAACTAGATGAAACTACTGATTTCTTTGAGAACTTCAATTGTGTTCTTCCAACTGATGGACTGTACGAACAGCACCATCAAGCGTTTGATAACCTCACATGTTTTGACTGCAACATGACCGACCTATTTGGCTTTGACGCAGCACCAGAAGGTTCACCCATCCCTAAGTGTTTCAAGGTCTATGAAGTTCGTAAGCCCCCTTCAATACTGGGGTGAGAGCAATTGCCTTGCAAGTCGCCCAACAGATTCCGTTTTCCTTTTTTGATGTTGGCCTTGTGAACGATGCAACAGTGCCACAAGAAGATCTTTATTTTTTTGAGGGACGATCGGACGAATCCTGCCCTACGTAATGAGACTCCTCTAGTGCAGTTTTGGCTGATGTGCGCTTCCATATTTGACCACCCATGGACGATGCTTTTTGACAAATTTCTTGAGGAATCCCCAATCTCTTTCATCTCTTGGCAAATGCAGACAATGATGTTGATGATATGCCGGAACTTGTTGTCAGATTCCAAGGAGATGATGACTATGAATCAGATGACGACGATTCGGGTGATGAAGGCAATGAAGAGGAAGAACCTATTGTGGCCGATTTGGATCACCATCAAGAAAATGTTGATAGAGGAACCGATGATATTTGGGAGCCTCGTTACTGATCTGGAGGATCTACAAGAACCGCCAGAACAAGAGATTGTATTTGAGCCTGAAACGCCTCAAGTAGCAAAAGTCACTCGATCTGGGCAAACGTATGCGCAAGCTACAATGTCAGGGCTGAACCTTTCTCAGGTTCCAAAGAAACCAAGAGAATGGCCTTCGAGCAGGAGTGGCAGTTCTGCCAATAAGAACAAGAATCGAGTTGCGACAAGACGCAAGCATCAAGAGAGGGAAATGAAACAGTTAAAGGACAAATTGAAGTCTGGTATTCGTACCAAAGAGGGAAGTCGCAGTACTATGCTAGACGATATGGGTGTTACTATTGACCCGACTGCAGCTGGAGACCACAAGCCTACAGCTGAGCGAAACAATCGAACGCTGAAAGAAAGAGTTAGAGTAGCTCTTGCACGATTACCCTACAAA